GAAGTTTGCGTCTCCATGATAGCAGAATTTATCAGTTTTCACAGTCGATGGTCACTCTGATCTCTCGTGATATAAGAAACATTGTTGTCTCAGTACTAAAATTTGGCCCAAAGCCACTTCTCATCAGTGGAGATTTGACCAAAATTGGCTTTGACTTTCCTTATTCCTTTAGAGTATGGCTTGAGACGATTTCTGTCTCTGACCATATGATTAATTAGCTTTATTAAGCTTGTCTTATCAGTCCAATAAACCGTCTACTGGCTCAAAGACCAAATGTCAGACTGACGACTTGCAATATCTTGTAAAGTAGACATAGCTATAGGTAATAACCATGACAAAATAAACACCAATTACAATCATATTCTATCTGGAGGCATCTAGAGATTCCATTTTACAATTGCCTGCAACAAGGAAAAATTAATTTAGTCCCAATTATATTCCTAAACTGGGGAAACTCGAACTGAAAGTTTGACGTAATGGTTAAAGGTGTGTTTCGCCTGATACTAAACTTTGCATCTACTGACAAAAAAATCACTAAAATTCTGCAATATGTCAGGGAAAGAAATCTGCAAGATTGCCTAGCTATATGTTTATGTCTGATTTGTGATATTATAAGAAACCATTGTCATTCCGACCGTATCCCAAATACGGTTTTGGAAGTATGACGAAGGGTGTATGGTTTGGCATATTGTTTGGGTTACTATTGTAACTTAACCTAATGAGAATTGATTACTTTTAGCAGAAGAGTCAAGGATGAAAAGTTATAACAAGAACAGAAAATTAGCATTGAGTTGCCTTTGATAGTTGACCTTGGTAATATTATGACATCTTAATAGTACCCTGACAGGTTGAAAAATATCATTAGAAGACGCTGATTCAATTATGGAATGATGGAACTAAATGCCTTCAGATTTGATTATCCAGCGCATGCTTTCTGACCATGTATTAATTGAGAGAAGTAACCGTGGTCGAAACAGTTCTGGATTTAATAAATTGAATCAAGATATTTCCAGGTTTTTCTATAAAATAATTTGATATGAATGAATTACAAAAAACTTTATCGGTTCTCATTATTGACACCCGAATTAAACGAATAAATATTATGGAAGCGACTACTGACTACGACTTTATAGATTCAGCTAAAAATGCTCACTCTTAACTGGATTACCTATTTATCACAAATCTAATATTCAGTAATGTTATCTTTATATGTAATCAGTGAACCGGATTGTTATGCGACAAACCCTTAAGCTATGGAAGCATATCTGAAGCAACTACAAATAGAATGTAAACACTGCATATATATTGCTTACCGTGTGGATTTTTTATAATAAAGTTGTTGCTGTGTGAAGAATCTATGTTAATCAATTGAATTGCACTTAATTTAACATACAATAATATTGCCAATTGCAGTATATTCACTGTCAATATGAACAACCTAACTTCACATTAATACGCTGGCAAGTGTACCGGTTAATTTGGCTTGAATTTTTAATCTAAAAACCATAACAATTTTTTTCTTACGAATAACCTGTCATACATGTAAATTATCTTTGAGAGAAACAAGTTGAAGGTTTATTCTGACATCAAAATGTTTGCTAAATAGTTGAGTGATTGTCAATAACAATTTGCCAACAACCATGTCAAGTATTTCACATTAAGAGAGAACATGGATTTACATCTACACTCAATGACTTTTCTATCTATAGAAAGCAGTTCATTAAGACTGTAAATTTAGATTTCATCTAAACTCATTAGATTCAGAGTAAAGATGACCAAGGGCATCAAGAATCATATTAACTGACGATGTTGAACGACAAATTGAAATCAACAAACTGAATTGACTTTTTATTTGATTTCTCGGTCATTTGTTGATATTGAACTCGTGTTGGTGGGAAACCTAATCACGATAATACAAACGACAAAATCAACCATTAGGCAAAGACCTGGAAAACACAATCATGCGCATACAAAACTTCTTGGGCATTGTTTTAATTGTTGTCTGTACCTCCTCGAGTTAGAAATTTCCTATTGTGGGTATTCAATATTCTTTGATTACTTCCAAAATATGAATATTCCAAACATGACAGATTTATGATTTATTTATCAATTTGGAATGGAAAAGGAAGACAGAAAGGGAAATAATTATATTCATGGTTTTGACATGTTGACAACTCTATACATGTTTACTAATATATATCATTGTCTTGTCAAACCAAATGTAACAAGATCGATCCAATTTAGTAATTACATTAATACTCATTCGATTAATGTAATGAAATCAAATGAAGTCAATTATTTGAGTTGTAAGAGTTGAAGTAATTGAGATACGTGTTACATGCTAATTTTGATAGTGACAGTATTCTGGAAATTTCTTTTGATCTTACAAGCTCGGGTTTGATCAAGATAGTACAATGTCATAAAAAATGTAGATACAGATAACATGCTAACCTTTCAAAAACATTATTAAAACTGATCCGACAAGATAATGTTACGCTAAGAATAATATAGAATTTCACACAATTAGTTGAAAGCATTTTTGTACTGAGAATTTGCATTCAATGTTTTGGTGACCCAAAAAGCGTGATGTATAACAAATTACTTCACATCGTGATGGCAAATGTAGCTATCCATAAAATGAACACTAATTATACCCCGTGATAATGATGAAGGTTCGAGGGACTGGCTTAAAAAGAGCTCTATACTGGAGGGAATATTATGACTTCGTCTTGTATCCAAACACAAATATAAAGTCAGCAAGTTTTCTATTTTAGTAAAAAAAAATCCAATACACTATAATATTTTGTGAATATTTGGTGTCAGGTTTAATATAATATAATAATTTGTCTACTCCGGTAATTAACATATTATAAAGGATGAAATATGATCTTCAGAAGCTTTTTAAAATTGAAAATGAATCGGTCGTTTGTGGTCATGTAGATACTCAGTCGAGTGGTTTTAAGTTCCAACGTAGAACCACATTAAATTCTTGTGGATTGATGAGTTTGAGGCGCCATGATGATGGATTCATAGCCATAACCACGTGCACTAACGTTCATCCTAATGTTGTGTTGAGACAAGTGTCTATAATGTATAACTGAAAGTCGAGGTCCACAAGCCGATTAAAAACAATGACAAGCATAGTCCAATGGATAGGATTGACCATCGAACATTAATAACACTGGCAAACGCCCAAGAAAGAGCACCGATAGTACACCACCAGGATTAAAATAAAATAAAGAAATGAAAGAATGAATCAAACACAACCAATTTGTTTGTGAAGAATAGCCTATTGATATTCTGATGACCAACCACGTTTTTTTAATATGAATTCACAAAATGATAAAACCATTAAGTTACAATGAAGTAGCCTATACAGAAAATAATGGATTCAGAAATATAGAAGGTACTAAGCTAACATAGATGACATATTATGTATTGAATAATAATGCTCGTTATTCTCTTTCATAGATAGAGGGAAACAACCAAATATCTCTACTTCAGCCCGAAATTAAGTCACAAACCTGTTATTAGTTATGCGTAAATGTTTTGGGCATTTCCTTTGATCAACATCTGAATTTTAATAAGCATACAGCAATACGCTACCTTATAGCATTAATGAAAATCACAAAAATCAAAACTTTCATCATCAGATCAACGTGTTTAAAGCTAGCCATCGCCTTGGTATTCTCACATTTAGAGTATTGCAATAGTCTTTTTATCAATCTGCCTCGAACGAAAATTCAAGCACTACAACGAGTAAAAAAAATGGCTGCTAATTTGATCCTGTGTTTACCAAAATTTGCCAGCACCACAGAGGCGTTAAAGGAGCAATAAATTCTTCTTATACATGTCCGAGCCCACACACTTCTTCTGATGGTGTACAAATGTTTAAATAATTTGGCTCCAAAATATATTGATATTAATCCGTATTGTACACGATACTCTACATGTCTTAATAAACAAAATATAAAACCTTTGCGGATAGGTCATTCAGTGTAGCAGGAACACGGTTAACAAGTTACCTGGACAGTTAAAAACCTGACTCTTTTAAGAAAAAGTTACAAACACATCTTTTTAGAAGAACCTTTACTTAAAACAACTGGGTGAGTCTGTGTGTGTTGACTATAATATGTTTGTAAAGCTCCATTGAATGCTCATGTTAGGGGAGTAATGAGCGTTCAAGTTCAATAACCTTAAAGGGGAACAGTCGGGCATTTTCGGGGATTGATTTGGGTCTTGAATGTGCTTTAATATTTTTGAGAAGTACTAAAACGCACAAAAATCGAATAATCCCTTAAAATATACCTCACTTTTTTTTATTTCACTGTCTATTTCTATACATGTGTTTTCTATATATGATATAGTCTCACTAAAATTCGAGTCGAATTTTTAACTTTCAAACGTGAATAATTATGGATACACATGGAATTGAAGGCTCAAATTTTTGACGATGAGCTGTGAGCACTATTACTGTAATTAGGTAAGATAAAAAAAATCCTGTTTCTGAAACTAAGGTATGATTGGTCGAACAGATAGTGAAGATGCTCCTGTAACCTTATAGATAGCCTCTAAAGTTGTAGTCTAAAAATCTGACACCTGATACCGTAACTCACAGTTATTCTTCTTAATGAGCATTGTTCTGAATTCGGATTATGATTATTGAATGTATGCGTTGCATCTGTTCCTTTGTATTTGTGCAAATCATATTTGTAGTTTGTTTGTTAACTTTTTGAACCTTTCATTTTTTTATAACTTATGTTTTATCAATATGTATTTTATTGTTCATGCTGACTGCATTAATCAAATCAAATCAAAGTAGAGATAACATATTACTTCACCCCAATTTATAGGCTGATTAAAGTAGGTCATCTTACCCTTATTACTATACTGATGTATTGAAATATTCGACGGCAGAAACCAACAATATAGTGATGACCGCCATGAAAATATTGACCTTGTTGAGTGTTTTATTGACACAAAACATTGCTCAGTTTATATATTATGTAGATGATAGTGAAGGATTAGGACGGAGGTTTGATGGAGTAGGGGGACTAAGCGGAGGTGGTGTAAGTAAAGTGAAATAATAAATTTGTTCTTCTTCATAACGCGAGTATGATAAAACACTTACATGATTGTATTATAAATCTTATATGTCATACTTTATATTGCAATGTGTTCGTGGCAATACAAACTAAACATTTGTGTCATATGCAATCAATATTCCTGTAATACATTATCGAATAATACTATTCATGGTATTCAGAATGTATCGGTTGCTGTAAATATACTTATATATAAACAAATCCAGACAACTATTAGTGTACCTTGTATAATGTACTGGGTGTCCTATTCTCTTCCTATATTCAACTAATTCTAATTATACTTTAATTGTAAAGCAATGGTCGTTGGAAACTTTGGCCGTCAGGTTAGTTGAAAATTGATCTATTTGAGTATATCAGCTAATAAAGCATATTTTGTAGAGGTGTTTGTCCCTTTAAACTTCTATTTTGTCTACTAGGCGACATCGAAATTGCTAGTCAACTATCCAGAACAACAACGTAATGAAATCCTGGATTACTTGTTTAAAGTAAGTAGGTTTTATATTCTACTCGGCTATACAAAATAAACTAATATGTTCAGGTCGTAAAGTTTTAAGCGAAACAACAATGGTTCAAAACATTTTTTTTCTGAAAGTTCACATAGCCAATTTCTGTTACCTATGGCTTTTCACATAATTGTGTTTTACCACCGTCATGGTTCCGCAAATTGTTCGGCTAATATTGAAAAGAATCCACTGTATTCAACTTCTATTTGATGTAGGCCTCCACTATTTATTAGGAGAGTGTCAGAATGTGCCAAACATTATGTAATATTATAATTCTTACCTACAAAGCATAAGCTATAATAGTAGCATAAGTTGTAACTTAAAACCTAATCAAAGCTATTTATGTACATGTAACTAACTACTTTCGATTTATTTTAGCCAAATTTTGCAGCATCTTTGCAAATATTGAAAGTTGAAATAGGTGGAGATGCTCAAAGCACAGGTAAGCATAACACTCTATGACGCTATTCGTTATAGATTCTATACTAGCAGTATGCCTTTTGTTACAATACCAGCACAATGCAAATGTCATCCAGTGATACCGACAAATAGTAATGATATATTTAATGTCTGGTTATATAAGTCGCAAACAACAGCAAACAGAGTCGCAAGTTGATAAGACAAGATAGCAATATCATTTCAAAAATTAACAGTAATTGATCCTTTTACTTGCAGATGGATCAGAAGCATCACATATGCATTACCCCTGGGATTTAAATTTTAACCGAGGTTATCAATGGTGGATGATGAAGGAAGCTAAAAAGGTACCATCGGATTCAGAGTATTTTAATTAAAACAAAATAAATACTTCTTGCGATTTCTAATGGTCGAAAATATGTTAGTAATAAATAGTACAAATTCACATGGGAAAGTAAAATCCCCACAGATTGAACCAAATATTGAGGATTAGATTTGTCAAGTCGCTAAGTCTTCTTATTCTATAAGTTTTCTTTCTTTCTTTCTAGAGAAACCCTGAAATAAAGTTTTATGGTTTACCATGGGGATTCCCAGGTTGGGTTGGTGGTGGTACACAAAGTCCGTATACATATCCTAATATCACGACTAGCTATATCTCTAAATGGATTCTGGGTGCTAAAGCAGTTCATAATCTAACTATAGACTATGTCGGGGTAAGTAAAACATGGTCATCCATTATTAAGAACTTTTAATATTGAGTCAGATGTCCCTGGGTATCAAGTTTACAGCTAAAATTGCAATTTGTAACTAAAATGTATTTGTAAGAAATGTAACAACACTTTTTAAATAATTACTTTTTTATATAGATATGGAATGAGAGACCTTATGATATCACTTATATTCTGGTGAGACAAAATACTCTTCCTCTTATTTTCAAATAATATTCTGAGTATAGAATACAGTACAGTTTGAGACTTGAATTGAAGATAGTATTGTATGTAGTACAGATAATTATACCTATCTGTTATTGCCTGATAGAAGAAGATAAACAATAATTAGATATCCTGCATCAAAGTAAAATCCTCTATTTCATCAAACGGGATTAACTTTCCAATATGACATATGGGACATATTATTCGAATATGCAAAGAACAGAACAGTTATATAATCAGAAATACTATTATGCTCTTATCTATTCGACTTCTCATTTTCATCCACTGTAGACATTGCGAGCAGCTCTAGATGAGAATGGTTTAAATCATGTTCAGATAGTCGCTGCTGATGGTGACATGCAGATTACTCCTGATATCCTTACACATCCGGATTTGAGCAAAGCCGTCTCAATAATTGGGTGAACTACAGTTACATTTTCTTATATAAATTGGCACAAAGCGCATACTTTTTCACAAACATATAGTTTTGAAATACATTTCTATAAAAGATGCTCTTCTGCTCTTGAATATCTGAGTTTAAACGCGGAATGGGAATAAGTTAACATTTGGTGCTTTAGCCAATCTCTTACATCAGGGGTCCTTTTTGAATGAGCATACTTGTGTATTGTGTGTGAACAGTGGTCGCAAACACTCCTTTAACCTTGTACCTTACAATTCGTTTTTAATTTCTTCTCACATTTAGAAAACATCAACCTCACACAGACAGTAATATATACGATCTAGAAACTGGTAAACCTCTCTGGGCTTCTGAGGATTTCAGTCAAAAACCTGACAATTATGGTGGAGCTTGTTGGGCTCGGGTAGGTATTACATAACAAACATCACGTGTCAGGAATATACCACAGTGATATTTCAAAAAATCCTTAATGTGTTTCTGGTGGTTGGTTACTCTGCAGATGATGCTGAACACTGCGACTTTTATATTTGCCAACATTTGTTGTATTTTTGTATTTCAGACTATTAACCAAGATTACGCAAATGGATTTATAACTGGGTAAGATGTGAATTAATACCAGATTCTTCATTATCAAAAAATAGCAAATTGTACAATTGTATAAAGACATCTGTATATGTAAAATAACGTTGGTTATTAAATAATTCACATTTTATTATTATATCCTTCACAAGACAAACATGAAACTGTGAACAGGCAAACAGTCACCAAATCTCCGCAGTTCACAGCTTCAAGTTTGTCTTGTGAAGGATATAATAGACTATGTTGGTTACATACCCCTATGAATCATGTTCACTACAAATTAAATTCTGTCGTAATGAACTGTATTGATATATGTTACTATGTTTTAAACCTTTTCTAGCCAGATAGCATGGTGTATTATTAACAGTATGTATGATGGTCTACCCTATTACGACAATGGTTTGATGAGAGCAGTGGAACCGTGGAGCGGACAATACTATGTTGCAGCCCCAATTTGGGCTTCAGGTATCTACATCAAACTTACCAAATAAACAATATAAATTTTGTGGACTCAACTCGAATTGTAGAGTTGGAAAATTGAACAAGCGACATCAACCACATCAGATATTTTTGTTGAGTTTTAATGTTGCAAAGAACAAGTATGTCGATATTGTTAATTGATCCAAAACTGAAATGATTGAAATTCAGAATGATTTTATTGACATGACATCCTTATAACCACATTAATTATCTGGTAACGCAATCAAGATGCGTATATATAGCTGCGTAAAGAATTATGTATATTTCATAGCTCACACGACACAGTTCACCAAACCAGGATGGTTATATCTAAAACATGGATCTGGTGTAGGAAATTTCTCACAAGGTGGTAGTTATGTTACTTTTATTAGCCCAGACAGAAACGATTTTACCATTGTCATCGAAACAGGGGTAAGTATACTGTGCACTTTTTAATTAGAAAGTAGTAGGCAACCTGGCGAATACCAGAAAATTTTCATTCTGAACAGAGAATTTGGTAGCATAAATGAAGTTATGAAAGGCAATATTTTGACGACTGCATCACTTTATTTGTATCCATAATTTCTGCATATTTCGTTTTCAGACATTTAATCATTCTCACTGTCGTAAAGTTATTCCACCGTTTAAAGTTCAACCACAAGATGTTACCTTTAAGTTGGCAGGATCATTGGTAGGTATAATAAGATTTTTAAGAACGCCAGAGGACTGAGATTTAATCATGAGCTTATACATGTAATTGTAAATATTTTATATATTTTTTTTATCTTATTCACAGGGTAATTTATCAAGTCTAAATGCATGGTATACAAAGCTGACATTTGATGGAAGCGACTCGACAATATTTCAACAAAGATCCATACAGGTAGGCCAATTTCGATTAAAACTGTAGGCTTGTGGGCATCGTTTCTCAGAAACCCATTAAAAAAATTGGATAGATAACACAACCATAAAAAGTACATAATGTTGATCATGATCGTTTCGTTGTATTTTGAAACAACTCATCCTAATTCAACTATATTTGTAGGTTGTAAACAATGTAATTAGTTTAAAGTTAGATGTTGATGAAATCTGGACATTAACTACAATCACAACAGGCTGTAAAGGTCAACATCCTATACCTCCACCTTCTAAACCGTTTCCTTTGCCGTATTTTGATAACTTCGATGGTAAGACTGACTAGAATATAGTATATAAGCTATGTCATTTCTTGACATTTGCTACAATGTGAAACTTGCGCCAACAGCGATTCCATATTTTGAATCTCTATCACGACAGTTGTTCCCCCTTTTAGGTAAGTCTGCTCCCTATTTTTACCCCGATTTCTTGAGGGCTGGCACCGCTATTGCCGGTCATTTGCAAGGAAGTAGAACACTTTTAATTTACATTTCAGTATATCCCATATATTCAGAAGCGTATAATTTAGTACAACAGTCGGGGATTTATGAAGTTACTGAAGTTGACGGTGAACACAAAATGGTGATACGTCAAATGTCTCTCGAGAAACCTGTGGCTTGGCAACAATCAGATTTATTAGGTCCAACTATTGATATCATTGGAAACTACAATTGGTACGTTACTACTTTGATAAATGGTTCAAACAATAACACCCTAGCAATGGTTGTGTTGATGTTGCTGTGAGTGACACGATGACTAGAACCATGTCACTTCCAGGCGAAAAGTTAAAAATACCATCCATAACACAGAACTTTGAATATTGATAGGTTATGTAATGTTAAATTTTGTTTTACAGGAGTGACATTGTAATAGCTGTTGATGCTCGTCCAGCTCCTATAAATGGAACGTCTGGATTGTTTGTAGCTTCTAGAGTTCTGAGTCGAGGTTTGGACACTAAACCAAACAGTGGAGTTTATTTCTTTATATTTCCTTCTAACCAGACTTATATCGTTTCTGGAAACGCAGGCAAGTATGAAATAGGCAATATTATGAATTTATTATAGCACAATTACAGAACAATTTATCTCACTCACCACTGAGTTCCAATGATATCACAATGAAGATTAAAGGAAAAAGCCATGTCGTTATAAAATCAAATTTATTTATCAATTTCGTTCTCTTATAGTTCGGAATCATATTTTTAAAAAAGGAAAGTCTTCAGCAATCATACCAGATGACTGGAATAGAATAACACTTGGAGTAAAGGTGAGTATTAACATTATCGAGACTTTCTAACATTCTTTTTTTCAAATGGCATTAAATCAGTTATCTGTGATAGATGTTCTTTCTTTCAAAAATGTGGGTATTTTTCAGGGTAACAGAGCGGTTGGTTCAGTTAATAATAAAATAGTATTTAATACAACAATACCTGGAAATACTCGTGGGTTTTCTGGATTAGGAACAGCATCATATCATCTGGCAGATTTTGATAATATTTATATTGATAAGTCGTAGTATTTTGTTATTTTTTTTATTTTGTTTAATTGATAAATTTTGTTGAATGTTCTTTGATTGTTAAATTTCTGTATTTGTTTAATTTAAGTAAATTATTCTTTATATTATCTCGAATCTCGTGAATATTATGTGAGTAGGGGCAGACCTCTTCTGGTTTGTTGCTGATCACCATACGAAAATGTTTGATTGCAGATTTAATCTTTGAACTTTACCACAAGGAGTGTGCATCATGATGGTAACACCACATAAATTGAAAAAAACACGACCTATGTGGACACTGGGCACAACTCTTCGACTGAACTTTCAAATGTTCTTGAATGATTTCCAATTTTGAAAAAAGGGCACCTGAATATACCCCATTCCAATTATACAGACAGTACTGCATGTGTCATAGTCCAAATATACAGGCAATATAGTAATTCCATGTGTCACATCTCAAATACGAACAGTGCATAATCTGTCTGTCACTCAAAGTAAACTTCATCAGATTCATGTAAAATTGTTTTTTATCTGGAACCATCGTTACATAGCTCAAAATCGACTCTTAGTATCAATAGAACTGTCTACATCTAATCCATATTTCTTTCTAGCTCTTTCAAATATATCACTATCATCATCATCTAGATCTATAGAGTCTAAACTTTTATTGAGGTCATCATCGTCATCCTCTACAGTGGATGTTACAATTGGCTTCTTCTTTCCTTTTCCCTTCGTGACTTTCGAAATTTCCTTTCCCGGTGCTGACTCTGCAAATAATCAAAGGGTAGGGTGTGATGTATAACTTAATATTAGTAAGATGTTTTATACATGGTAGCTAGAAAAAGGAATCATGTGCGGCTTGTGCGCCAAAATTGAATTTACCCTTATATTTTGGTGTCAAAATTATGCTATCTGTGAAGAATGAATGTGTTAAGGAAAATTCACCTGTGGAATTGTCGTCCAGGTAGTCTTGGGCTTCTTTGATAACATCAGATACCATTTTCTTTTTTTCAACCATTTTGCCTACATAATAAAATTCAAAAACATGTGAGACTTTCCCTCCCAAAATATAAGTAATTTAATATTACTGATAACTTTAAAAGTAACAGTAGAAACCGATACCGATATTTTTGGGGCTTTAGTTTTTCACTCTTAGAAAGTAAGACTTACTTTCGACAAACCTAATCAGACCTCGATGATTTACACATGACTTACAGTTATGCTTTCAGAATAATACCTGGTTAGATCTCGAAATATCAATTTATTGCAACTGTTCAGATAAGTCAACACTCCGAATAGAAAACATTAACACTATCTTTGGAGATATATAAATGAGACCTTACCGTCTTTGTTTTTCTCAATAATCACAACTGTATCAATTCCTTCCATTGCCGGTACCTTTTCCAGTATCGATGGTCGATTAAACATTTTTTCATATTTCTTTTCATTTCGTTTACGTAATTCCTTTTCACTGATTTTATCAATGGGTTTTAATTGTTTACGTTTATGTTTGGCACTAGAATTCACTTTTATGTCACCATCTTCACCAAGTTTTTCTGGTAATCCATAGTCGTCACGATTCATGACCTCATGTTCAACAATCCGATGTGTTACATATTGCGTCCGGAAACGACGACATTGTTCCCGCTCAAATTTCTTGCGAACATAGGCTAACTGTTTTTGTTGTCTTCGTTTTGATTCTTCTCTTTGTTTCTCTCGTTTCTTCACAAGCTCGTTGTGTTCTTTTATAAGCTCCAATTGAGCTTTAGTCATTTTGTTCAGAACTTGATTTCTTCGTCTTTTGTGAGTATTATCATTATTATAGGCTGCATGTATATTCAAATAATTATATGTCTCTCTCTTAGATAAGATGTATTCCTTTTTTTGTCGTGGAGAAACCACCAGTGGTGACGAAATATCGGAACTAATGCGAGAGTTATCTGCCCTTCCAGAGGCTTCAGTTTCCGGTCTTTCTGACTGTCGATTCTTCCTCAAGTCTTTTCTAGTAATTCCTGTATAAACCACGAAAACCTCCTCTGAGGTGTTAATATCTGGTTTGAAAGGTTGGTGGTCGTAAATAGGTACCTCTTCAAATAGAACACGATTACTTTGGTAATTTTCTTTCCACCTTTCTCTGGGTGACATGGGTTTCTGTGCTCGTTCCAGTTCTAAAGCTAACCGTAGCAATTTATGGTCTTCAGTTTCAGTGTTTCTTTTTTCTTTTTCATCCTGTGGGTCATTCTGCACGTTATCATTGGTTCCGGTAAGTTTGAACGTGTCCTTTTCTTCGTTATCAGGTTTCCTTATTGGAGATTGTGTCTTACGTGATTTAAATTTATCATTTTGGTTTGATGTACTTGGTGTAAATGCTTGCTGTTTCTGTGAGGGTTTCACAATACTTTTTGAAGAATCTCCATTCCTATAATGAAGCATTTACATAATATTTATTGATAACTTTTGTCTACTACTTGATTGTGATTTTGAGAGTCCTCATGGCTTTTCTTTGTAGGAACATAATTGAGTTCGGGAAACTCAAATTCTTACATACCTCGTAATATTTTGAATCACTCTCGTATCTGCCCATGTTGTAGCAAATCTTCCCTGTCTGAAAGAAATCAAATCCTTAATTAATAAGACCATTTATTTATATTTCGAGTATCACAATAGTTCAGATGGATACAATCTACATCAGCATTAAATCATTGCAGGTATGAATAAGAATAATCAAGATCTATAATACCCATTCCTAAAAACCGACACTGGCTAGATTGTGGACAATGAGGCCATGCATACAGACATAATATCCTCTTTGGAATTGGAAAGCATGTGACAACCGGTTTCTTGACTATTAATGGACAAACATTTACTGTAGTTATGAGTCTTTTGTAATTCCTACCTATTATCTCTTTCCTTGGTTGTAATTCCAGCATAATTATTACTATATTGTTGATTATTAGAGATATGGTCATTGTTCTGGGTAACTATGTTATTGAGCTGAGGTAACGGTTCGGTTTGTTGGGTTTTATTGGGTGCTGAATTTATATCTCGTCCATATTCTGGAATGGGGTGTAATACATTTAATTCCATGCATTTAGTACTTACCGAGTCGCACAAAACACCATATCAATAATTGACAGTGGGGCTCATTTCGTTTGAGTAGTCCTAAAATCCGAAAGGGAGTTCAAGGGTGTTTCAGTGTTTCAAATCCGCCTTAATAGTCGTAAATATTGATCTTGGATCATGGATATGGACACAATAAAATAATAATTAGTCAAATTTGCAAAATATATTACCTTCTTGCTTGTAAATCTGATCTGATCTTCTGTTATTCTGATGCCTTTTACGGAACAGATTTGGCTCTGGAAAGCTGTGTCTAAATGGAGATCGTTGTTTGCGTGTTGAAGCATCGCTTACACTATGAAAAATAATGGGCAAATAATATTAAGCAATCAAACAAAAGCAACGTTCACAATAAAATGCTTAAAAACACATATCTCACTGATCTTATGCCTGGTGGTATTTTTTGAATGTCAGACATACGGTTTAGTGGAAGTTAAATATATATATTTTTTAAATTGTTTAACCTCTTGAATTAATCATACCAGATCAAGTATCAATTTATATACTCTTCTTTTGTGGTTGAGTATAAACATAATGTTGAATCATCAAAATCCAAGGCCAAGAGGACATCGGTTATTGTAAAATGCAAATAGAAGCAGTTTATTTACGCCTCCATCGGCAATCATGGGAAAATATTGTTTTGGTATCCACTTACTACATATCAAATCTAGCATAGCTGTCAATATGCATACACCTCGGTCCAGCTGATCTGGCACTCATGATAAAATCTTTCTAGAGTCCAAATCCACTCACATATATACACGATGATGTTAAACGTTTGCAATCAAATACATTTTATAGCCAGGTTAACTAACACTTCTGCGACTTCCAACTTTTGATTTAGTGACGGATTATATTCTCACGAAGATTTCATTATAGATCAAAGTGTCTATGAATAACTTATTTTATGTTAATATAATCTAGTTTGGTTGAATTTGGTAGAAAAAAGAAATGTTAATATATTTGTGAATATTTATTAGTATTCAATAAACCAGAGACTATAATTATATGTTTTTAATTTACCTCGTTACCTATTTATATTTTTATTATTGATATCAATACAATCAGGCGTTTCAATGAATTATCCAAAGCACAAACAGAAAAAAAACAGATTGCCAGAAAGGTGTCTATGATAAATGATAAGTTTAATGCAGTACATTTGTTGATGAATCATTACGATATGTTTAACAGTTGATGAATCATACGATATGTTTAACAGTTGATAAATCATTACGATATGTTTAACAGTTGATAAATCATTACGATATGTTTAACAGTTGATGAATCATACGATATGTTTAACAGTTGATAAATCATTACGATATGTTTAACAGTTGATGAATCATACGATATGTTTAACAGTTGATGAATCATTACGATATGTTTAACAGTTGATGAATCATTAAGACATGTTTAACAGTTGATGAATCATTACGATATGTTTAACAAATGTTGCAAAGGTATATACTTATCGAATTCCAATTCAAATCTCTGTTGCCTACTTTTTGCTGACGACATTGCAAACATGTCAGACACTGTGTCTAATCTACAAAATCAAATAAATAGCATTGAGCAATATTGTGCTAAATCCCACATGAGACTTAACATACAAAAAACCAAAATTATGGTTTTCAGAAACGGTAGCCCTTTAAGACATTATAAAAAATGGTCATTTGATGACACATTGCTAGACACTGTATCCCAATATAAGTACTTAGGATTAATATTTACACCAAAATTGATATGGACTTCGTCCAAAGAAACCTTAGCATCACAATGTGAAAAAGTCATGATTATTCTTAAACGTCTAAATGCCAAATGCAATGGTCTGTCATATGACATATTAATTCAAATTTTCGATAAAATGGTTCTACCCATTTTAACTTACGGGGCTGAAATTCGGGGATTTTTGTTTTCCCCTGTGATAGAACACATCCAGATTAAGTTCTTAAAATACATACTGAAATTACCTAACCATGTGTGTAATGCAGCTGTTCTGGATGAATGTGGCCGCTTCCCGAAGTTGATTAAATATTGGTTGAAATTACTCATAGTGCCTGAGCATAGACTACCCAAACAAGTCTACGATATGCTATATATTTTGGATCTTAATGGTCGACGCTCATGGGCTACTAAAGTAAAAAATTTGTTGTTTGAATATGGTTTTGGAGATGTCTGGATGTCCCAGACAGTAGGTAATGTGAATAAATTTTTGTATGTATTTAAACAAAGGGCCAAAGACACTTGTCTACAAGAATGGCACAGTAATATTCTTTGTAATTCAAGACTAGAACACTATTCATATTATAAAGTAACTTTAGAACTAGAGCAATACCTAACCAGTTGGACTATTAATTATAAATATAAGAAAGCACTATGTAAATTTCGAACTGGTTGTCACAATCTTATGATATTGGAAGGGTTATGGAAAGATATTCCATACATCGATAGGACTTGTCCTGTCTGTCGTCATGGCTATGTTGAAGACGAATATCATTTTATCATGATTTGTCCAAAATATAACGAATTAAGACATTTGTATATAAGCCAGTATATTAATTTCATATGTACACAAACTTTTATTTCCCTGATGTCTACAAAAAACCCCCGAGGCCCTAATAAACTCATCAAAATACATATACTTTGCCCAAACGCTTCGACTACAAATACTCTCCCCTTGATTGATTAACTATATATTTGAATTATATTATTTATAATTGTAACTGTTTAAATTGTATATATTAGTATTTTATTGTATTAAATTGTATATATTATTATTAAATGAATTGAATTGTATAAAATTAAAGTGAATGTAAATTGTTCTATGGGCATGAGCACTGTACAATTATAATATTTGAATGTTTATAAACTTACCTTTACAGTGTGCCTTAAAAACATATAAATAAAGATTATTATTATAACAGTTGATGAATCATTACGATATGTTTAACAGTTGATGAATCATTACGATATGTTTAACATATAAGTATGTATTACTAATTGCTGTATGAATTTGTGTACTCAATCAAGTAATAAATCCTAAATCTATAAAATGAAGCTAAATAGAAATTATTATCTGCATTCATCATTATAATTCTAAATTAAATCAAATTTTAAATTTTAAATCAGCAGCATATAAGCATATTAAAAATAATTTTCGAAAAATGAGAGGAGCCTAAAAACTATATAAGCAAAATTTCAACAAAGTGACCCTCTACAGGTTATCAACATAAATATTTCATTTCTCAAGATATTTACTTGCTCAATGACGCTTAAAAATACACTTCTTCCTTCAAACGATCTGAACTTTAACTGCAAACACCAAACTAGTCCAGCATCTATAGTGAGAACCATTAATTTTGAACAACTGTTATAGCCTCTGGGACTATGTTGTGTACTTTTACACAGATTTCGGCTTTGTCAATACATCAATGTTGAATGAGGTTTATTAACAGTTATAATAATCACAGTACAGTACAGTGGTCAGTAGTAGTTATTGGTCTATGGTAGATGATAATAATTGGAATAACATATCTAAGAACTGATGATACAGATGATGATATGATGATATGATGATATGATGATTGACTAAAAAGACAATAATAAAATTCTTAATTAGACTTTAACTTTATCAATAACTTGTCATATGACTGGTGGGGTGGGTAACGCCTGATTGCTGGCATATGATTGACTATGATGACTTTGACTAGATGTATGCTCCTACTATAATATTGACTATAATTACAATTAGACCCAAACTTGCAGTCTATGTAGCTCTTACAATAACATAATTGTCTTTCTTAGTTTCATGCCATAATAAAATGATAGGGCTATCTGCTTTTTAGGATATGGGTCTAATCCAAGCTGTTTTATGCTCATTTCTGCTCAAGTCCATGCAAAAATAGCCTAAGCATAGCCTAAAATTACAGATATCAACTTAATTAACAAACCATATTATGAGCCTATCAGTTTTCTTTGAGGACATCAAAACTTGACTTTAACTTTCTTTGACTTCTGAACTTTCTAGACTAAAAACTTTTCACAGGAAAAGGAAGTAGACTAAAACTTCCAGCAAATAAATATTTAAAGAATACTAGATTAACCAGCCTCTAATGGCCTATATGCCTACTATCCACTGTGCTATTAGAAGTGTGTTATGTTGGTTATAATGCTTTGACTATTGATTCACTATTAAAGATGCATATTTGACCTAACAACTGTGATTGCCAACAAAATTAAGTTGTATGTTGATGTTATATATGACAGTTTTAATATATCTATTTTTCATGACAGAAATAATCAGAGGTTAATTTCGCTTACCCCGAAGATGCTATACTAGAACTTGTTCTTTCTAAATAGTATAAATTTTCTATATTAAACATGTTACTCCTTGAAACCGTTCACTAATCTAAATTTTATGTAACAATACTATTATAAAGAGTGATTGATAGGGTTTCAGTTTTTAATAGAAATCGCAATGAAAGAAAAGAAGTTTTTATTTGGTGTTTACACTCTAAATTGTCATGGTGTGTTTGAATGAGTTCAGTCAAGCTAGACTAGGGTATTGTACTGATCAAGGTAAATATATAACTCATAAGTATTACTAAAAACAATAAATTAATTTGCATACCATACTTGTGACCATTAACGACAGCGGGAAAGTATTCGTCTGAGATGGTATAAGCATGTCAAATCGGCCACATCCATTTTAAATCTATAGCCTTCATTGCAATTAAAAACCAATTTAATGCATGTTTTCCAGGTGAAGGGCAATAACTTAAAAAAACACACGAACTCGTACCATGAATCAGATATCATCAAATTTGAATCAAATATGAAGCATTCAGCCAATTTAGACATACATGTACTTTAGTTACGCAAAATCCAATAACTCAACGATGGTTAATCGAACAAGTTGATGTCTAGCAAGATACGCCCACTTTCCTCATAAATTTTCAGAAAATCAAGGGCGGTCACCAATCTGTGTCAAATCATACCAAAAATCTAAGTTGTGCAAGATATTGTTGATTTAATCAAACACACAAAATTAATAACATTCCTCTATCGCGTAAACAAGCCAACATATTCTGATGCGTTAAGGGCAATATCTCAAAAACCGTCCATCGAAAGATAGCCGAATTCGAACTTGTCCAAGATCATGAATGATCACACCAAATTTTATTTAAATCGAATGAAAACTGTTGTCTCTGTTCACAAAAAAAATTTGATGCGTTTTTCATAAGTCAAGAGCAATAACTCAAAAACCAAAATGATAGCACCAAATTTCATTAAAAACTGTTGTCTCTATTGTGTTCACAAGCCAATTGTGGACCGACTGACCGGCGGCCGGACGGACGGACAGTGGTGACATTATAATGTGGGTGTATATAAAACGCTAGTCTAGTCTATAATAGAATAGTCTATACATATAAATAACAATCTGGAAAAAAATCCCTTCAAGTTGTAACATATTTCGCGGCATTACCAACACAATTTAAATGCCTTTATGGGGAATAACTCAAATCATATGAAATTTCGCATCTTGCCTAGCTCCGTATAGTCGCAGATCTAGACACGAACCTAATCACAAGTCATCTTGTCCAAGGCTACAGCTTGAATGATAAAATATGCATCAAATTAAATATTATAACGTCTGAATGATATCAATAAATTCTCAAATGCTCAAAATATTCCCAATTTTAACCGTGTGTATTTGCTGAAGAAGTTGCAATACCGAACTGATTTTAAGAGTGGAAGCGTATCTGAGTTACGAAACTAGAAACCTGAAAGACGATTAGGAGGATTTTTAAAGACAATTCGCACCATAATGAGTTATTTCGTCCTCATTAACATTACTGTGCTTACATTTTTATGTTTATTCGCTTAGTATTTATCAAATAAAATTCATTCTTTTCATATGCGTCTTTAAAAACACCATGTCTAACAAGTTTTACAGTCTGTTTTACTGATTTATTTCCCTTAATTTTATTGATCGCTCGAACGTGCCTTTACAAAAATACACAGAATTCATAAGAGAATATCAATATGCATATTATCATTATTTTTCAGACAGGGTTAGCAGTCTTCGGTAGTCTTCGGTGCTCTTCGGCTGTGAAAAGATGCACCCGTCGTTACGTCTCACTTCCGGTATTAATGTCTACGCGTGAATTATTTTAAACATGGCTGGTCAATAGGTCAGGGTAATATCTACGAAAGGTAGAATTTCTCTGTTGATCAGGATGTAACTCAAATGTGTCATGTCAAGCAAGGGAAACACGATAGAATACGATTATTAGTTCAAGGGAAATAACCCACCAAACAATCTGAAATTAAATGTATGTAGTTTCTTTCGACTTCTCGCTCTCGATCTGTGAATTAGATATGAGTTGGGGTATTTTATTTCCACTTTAAAATTTGCCATCTTTTCTTACTTCAGGCACTTCGGTATGTGCAGTTGGTCAGTTGTGATTTTCATGTAAAATGCCAAAACCTAAAGTACATGTACCGTTCCAAGATATAAATCTCATCATGGTGTCGTTGCCTTTAATAGCTCAAGAAATTCAACACAGCTAAAGGCTTAACCCTTAATTTAATCTGAACCCAAAAGTAAACATACCTACCCATTATTTTCATAAATGCTTGGCAATCGGAACTCATCGCCTGCAAGCTTCCTGTTGCGTCCACGTTGGTGACTTTTTGATACTTTCATATTATCCTTTTAAGTCCTTGTACAGGGCTTCACTTCACAGTAGATAAGTACACAGTATGTCGAATTAAGTCTTGGAGAGTCGTAAGTACTGAAGATGTGCTGATATTAAGACAAGATAACACAGCCCTCTTGTTTCTAAGTCGTGTTCTCGGTTGAGAAACCTTGTTGACATGATGTTTGGTCACCTTTTCACTGTTGCTAAGGATAAATCCCACATTTTAAGATTAAAAAAGTCCCATAAAAACAGTTTTTAGTTGTTTAAGTTTCCACCCAATAAATGTCATTGTTTAAAATCCTTATGAAAGAAATCTCTATGTACTACTGTTTACCATATCCAATATTTGACTTTTGAAATATATTCAATCTATTTCTATATGTTAGATTATATTTGATCAACTTGAACACAATTAAATGTAATCCGAACCTAGTTTTCTTTATTTGATTACTTCAACGATTATTTCTATTAAATGAAATATGAGCCCCTGATTTTTAACTCAGTCGTATACATACCATGGATGAGTTTAGAAAAGGTGAACATCATAATTTGTATTAATAGATAATAAATACAGAAATAACTGTCCAGTTGTCATGATTCAAACTCACTTCAGGTATGTATTAATGTACTTCATAAAATCTTTCTGCAAAACATCATGACAATGAAATGAATGGAGTTTTACGTCCTACTCTTCTGCTCCGTGACAATGAAGAGATAGTCCTACAGTCGCCAGTATTGTGTTCATGGTGCTGGTCATTATTTCACTCTATAAAGTGACTGTCTATATTCAACAATAGGTAGAAATTAATTCCACGCTTCAATAATAAGCTTATGATATTGATATATAGACAATATTGTTCTTGATAGGTTAGATACAGGTTTATATGTCATCAAAACACTTTCCAACTTCGATCGATTTTGATAAGATTTGCCCACTAGTTTATACTTCATAGATAATATAATATAATATATAATATAACTCTATCTGTAGGTATCGGACATAATTTTCCATCTTCAAACGCAAAGGAATTGTAAATTGCAATGACAAACTATTTATCAACAATCTATGAACTATATATTTGCAATATAGAAAGTATAATAATATATGTTTTTTAACCATATGATGCAGGTTCCACAGAGGCAAGGACTTCCGATATCAATAAACGTATCAATATCATATGAATAACATGAAATTCTGGACCAAAACAAAAAAAAATGATTTTGAGGCAAATGACAAAATACAGTCTGAGAATTTCCAAAAGATTTATTGATATTACAAACATCTATCTACATCAAGAGTATGTGAGTGGACATTTGATTATAGTATATAGAATACAATATGGAAGACAATGATTCGTTGTTTACAAACCCAACCTATGATCAAATATTTCCCTTATTTTGGCACTTGTGGTGTTTAACGAAGAAATAAATCAACGTTGTTTTAAAAAAAAAAAGAAGCTATCACTGTATTTGTGAATTTTGTGTAACTTAAACCAAAATCTCAAGATGGTAATTCACAAATATAGCAAAAAATACAAATTTAAAAATAATCGCATGCAAATACATAGACAAAAAAACTATTGTACATCATTGGCAAGACTTGTGACCGTAATGAACTCAAAAAATCATTCCAAACTAAATCAAGCAAGGTTATATTTTGGCAGTGAAGTGGCAATCTAATCTGAACGTAAGAGCAAATTGTGTCGTGGTAACCATCTTACAATAAACATATGAAGACTTCTAAAAACAAGATATTGCACGAATAAAACTGTTTGTAAATGGAGCTATAAACTTTTGCAATTCCCGGTCTTCAGAACTTCTTTATATGTTTCTGATCACAGATTCGCACGTTGCGTACCATATTTCTATCACACAATATATAATAATGAATACAACTTATATACTTATTTTACAATTTAGCACCATTTGAAATACTTGTGATAACACATCAACATGTGAATCAATGACATCTCAAAATATAATTGATATCATGTAGAAATTGAGCCCTTATAGAATAATCTAAATAATTCAAATGTTAAAGATATATTGTAAAAAAATATCACGATGGGCTTGAGAATGGTCCAAACATCTGAAATAGAAGATTATATATATGTTATCAGTACAAATGAGAACAGTGGTACAGCAGAGCTTCTGGACCCGCAAAATTTCGTCCAGGGGTATTTTTTAGTATTATTATGTATTATTTCTTTTGTATTTATGACATAGTTTAAATACCTCCTCTTTAGATTACCATTATTTCCATAAATTTTAATATGAATCGGGGACGCCGATAGCATGATTTGCATCATGAATTTTCTGTTAAATTTTCAGCCACAGATACCTGTCGAAAATGTGAAATAATGCAAATGGAAATCCTATTTACAACCGTTAAGAAATTTGCTCTGTAGCTCTAATGTTGCTAAAGGATTATGGCAGTTATACATGTACCTTATTTTCTTGGAACAACCTTTACTCGAGCCTTAGCAGTGTCTTTTTTATATTTATTCTGGACAATGCAGGTGTAGTCACCCTCGTGGGTTTTTCTCAAACCTTCGATCTGAACCCAACCAGTAATTTGATAACGTCCAGGTCCACCTCTAGCAGCTGTCAGAGTAAATTCATCGTCACCTGAAGTTGAAAGATATCAGTGTTCACTGAAACCATAAAAGGGTGCATACTCCTCTGCAGTTAATTGGTAACATTGTGCTCACTAAATCATGAGTATACTCATGTACATATAATATGATATACACCAACAAGCTTTCAACCTTAGTAAGATCCTAAAAGTGGCAAATAATCATCTTTACAATTTCAAGATATTGCAAATTTCGTCTCATATCTTATTATGTTCGAACTAGCGGCAAGCATCACAAGCTTTCAAGGTCCTGTGGAAATGAAGTTGTATAGCTTTTGTTTTCGTCCTGTTTTTTACTCGCTGTATCGATGAGAGAGATAAGACATGCCTACTTACCAGGGACACTGAATGTTTCACCATCAGCTCTAGTGTATAACCAGGCAATATGGGGAGTAGGGTTACCAACAGCTTCACAGGATAAGATAACGGTACCACCAGTGCTATTCTTGGTGTACATTGGAGAACTTACAATCTTAGCTCCTGTAAAGCAAAATACATATAGTAACTATGATACTTTTGTGAAACCCATGTAGCAAGAGGCAGGCTTTTACATTTGTAGGGCCTATTGGATATTGGGACTCTGGTCTAAATTACTCCAAAGGTTTTATTGTTCACTGGATACGTTATGACAGTTCTAGCTAGAGGTATGAGCTGTAACTATAAACATCTAAAACACAGAAATATTGCATGTTTCAAATTTATATCTTAACTGATGCAAGAATACATCAAGAGAGATTAATAACAAATATAAGTGCTTGTTTTGGGGATTCTACGAACGCATTAGGATAGAAGTTACATTTGGAATGCGATATACAGGTTTATAATTGAAATTAACGGTTATAAAGTTGAAATATGATACTAGTACCCAGTGCTCTACAGGTGGCCAATATACTTTAACCATGTGTAATTAATTAACCGTTAACATGTGTAGTCCATATATCAGGTTATAAGAAAGTTCATAGCACAAACTTGAAGGATAATAAAATCCGGTTGATATTCACTGCTGGATTGAGACACTCTTCTGCTTGTCATTAAAGTTAAATAAAATTTTTGGTGTGGTTTCATTTCAATTAAATCTTACAATCTTAATATCTTAAAGTGATACTACGTCTTAGAATTAACATAAAATTTAAGAATTTTTAACTTGGCGAATAAGAGCCATAACGGGATCCTTATGTTATAAGATAAATCCAAAAAACTTAGTAATTATCCATAAATATCCAATGAACTATTGAAAAACGTTTAATATCAAGATCAAGCGTTTTTCAATAATTGCTTAGTTTTATGAATTTACCAACTTTCCAGATTTTACAGGGATTCTGTTGTAACTTTATGACACCATGAGTTCATTGATGAATATATACTCATACTGACCATTTCGAGAACTTAAATTTTATGTTCATTCTAAGACGTATATCACTTTAATACTGTAAAGGTTATTTAAAAGTATGTAGTGAAACTATATTTTCCTACCTGCGTCACATGGTCCCACAAATTTAACTTCTAACTCTGATTTCAAACCAGCTCTTCTCATATCAGCCATTAATCCACACATGTTGTTGTAGGTAACGTTGTTTGAACCACAGATAATCTGGTCGTGTTCACAAACACAAACTTGGCCAAACTCTGTTTCTTCACAACTAAATAAAGAATAACCAAGATATATCTATTATGCATAGGTGAGGGGTAGGGGTGTTATTAGTAGGACAATCGTACTCATGTATGCTTTCAGTCCAAGACACAAGTCAATCAATAACTTCTTATTCGAAGTAAAAAAAAAAGCATTAATGTGACGTAATTGTAACGCGCGTTTCTCTATGTTATGAAACCACCGAAGAAATGTTCTTAGGAGTGCTTGAAATGTTGTTGATTAATTATGTATAAATTCATTTAAACATCTGATAAATTAATATAGTGCAAGAAAAATCACCCTGTTTCACTCCATTTCGAAAACTTCGCGTATAGCATCCATCATATTGTAATTAAGATGGAGTCATAAGTTTCATGATTTTGGGAGAATTCTTCTTGGTTGTAGTAGGATTGGTTATCATTAAGTTTATCAAACGTCATTGGGTAAACATATGGGTTTTATCAGTACCATTATGTATAAACTGTCAACATAACTTTACACTTCAGATAACCTTACAATTGTTATGTCATAATTTCACATAGGAAATCAAAAACTGTCTGACAAAATATCATTATCAAGACTTTTCTCTAAATAAGCGTTATTATAATTATATAAACCTATATATCATAAAGAAGTTGTTCTGAAAATTTAACCACAGTAAACTTTAATACAACTGACCAAAAAAGTTTCGTAGACATTTTACAATATAAACTAGATTATAGGCCTAATTGTACCAGTGAAATTTAAATTCACAGTACATCGGTGATTTACCCCATTCCTGATATCAAGAGGTCATCGGGTTACAATGACCCAGTTCTTAGTTCCTGATTATCTTATGATGGGGTGTGATAAATATAAAATCAATCATTTGTTCATAAGAAAAACAGCATAACATACCTTAATCCATCACCACATTTTCCATTAACATAAGGTGTTTCAGGGAGATCACAAGTCTGACTTTCCATTCTGGCACAGACATCACAACAGTCGCATCCATCTTTTACTATTCCAGTTAAACACTCAGAACGAGATAACTTTGGACATAATTCCTTCTTACAATCGTTGCATCTGGTATTAGGACTAGCCGAAACGAAACCTAACAGTGCCCAGGCACCGAGAACAAATAAAATACGCATTCTTATACCCCAAACTGTCTACTGCTACGGAACTAAAACTGTGTTCACTTCTGCTAGAATTCAAAATGGAGTCTATTAGATTTAGCAGAAGTGAGTTCTGTGAGAAGAAGACGTGGCCGTTAAAAATAACTTGTGGTAATTTGATCTTTGATGCTTACTGAAGAACCAAACCCATTTCACCTACACATTCTCGACCATCCAGACACCATCTACGAGATACTTTCTATAAGTAAATACTGGATATGTTAGTCTACGTGATTCAGGCAGTCGGTTTGTACCATAATTTGGCAACAGGGGCGTTGTATGTTAAAATATTTAAAAGTATTTCCTGCCTCTTGGTATAATGAACTCTTCGGAAATACTTACTAATATATATGATGAATGAACGAGTGTAAATAAAGCTGATAAACAAAGGGCTGTTTATGTTAAAATTTTAAACACGACTGGGATTAGACTGATTAAAATTGGGTCTTGATGTACAGATTGTTTCAATTAAAGCTACCGCTTTTAATCCCTTAACTAAAAGTCTAAATCATTGGCATATTTAGTTTGCTTATCCTATTGTGTACAAAGCAGGCCTTCTCTTAATTGAACGACATTTTTGAGTGAATGGGAAATATTTGACCTATAAACATTATATAACACAGAAATGGTCATGATATGAAAACGGAATTGGTAAGGAAATTATTCACACGATTTCGTGAAATATTTCATTCTTACGAAACCTACACAAATTATTTTGACACCATTAATAGACGCTATTTTAGTGCGCTTTTCTTTGTGTAAATGTACAGCCGAATGAGAAACAATCTAATTAAATAAGATTGTAATTTCATATCTTTTTTGCTTTCTCATATTTTTAGTCTACATTGCAGCAAAAACCCGCCTCAAAGTATTTAAAACCAATCAAAGTGTGTCATGTAAAGCCCGAATCTCGATAAAATAAGGAATTGTGGGATAGTGAAACCTAAAGTACACCAATATGACAGCCTTTACGTCTTAGATTACTATGTCCTATAAAACAAATAAGTTGTAACTGAATTTTAATTGCAGATAGAGGGACCGGTTTTCTGTTATCCCCCCCCTCTCATTTGTTATTTTTCATCATAAAAATTACATAAGCTTGTATCTTTTAATGCCATATAATACCAGTTGATGTCTCAGATCAGATTGTATCAGGGTGTGATGTCTCGTATCATATTGTATCAGGGTGTACTGTCTCGTACCATATTTTATCAGGGTGTACTGTCTGGTATCATATTGTATCAGTGTGTACTGTCTCAGATCATATTGTATCAGTGTGTACTGTCTCGTATCATATTGTATCAGGGTGTACTGTCTCGTATAATATTGTATCAGTGTGTACTGTCTCGTATCATATTGTATCAGTGTGTACTGTCTCGTATCATATTGTATCAGTGTGTACTGTCTCATATCATATTGTATCAGTGTGTACTGTCTCGTATCATATTATATCAGGGTGTACTGTCTCGTATCATATTGTATCAGAGTGAACTGTCTCGTATCATATTGTATCATGGTGCACTGTCTGGTATCATATTCTATCAGGGTGTGCTGTCTGGTATCATATTCTATCAGGGTGTGCTGTATCGTATCATATTGTATCAGTGTGTAATGTCTCAGATCATATTGTATCAGTGTGTAATGTCTCAGATCATATTGTATCAGCATGTAATGTCTCGTATCATATTGTATCAGGGTGTACTGTCTCGTATCATATTGTATCAGGGTGTACTGTCTCGTATTATATTGTATCAGTGTGTACTTTCTCGTATCATAATGTATCAGGTGTGCACTGTCTCGTATCATATTGTATCAGGGTGTACTGTCTCGTATCATATTGTATCAGTGTGTACTGTCTCGTATCATATTGTATCAGGGTGTGCTGTCTCGTATCATATTGTATCATGGTGTACTGTCTCGTATCATATTGTATCAGTGTGCACTGTCTCGTATCATATTGTATCAGTGTGTACTGTCTCGTATCATATTGTATCAGAGTGTAATGTCTCAGATCATATTGTATCAGCATGTACTGTCTCGTATCATATTGTATCAGGGTGTACTGTCTCGTATTATATTGTATCAGTGTGTACTTTCTCGTATCATAATGTATCAGTGTGTACTGTCTCGTATCATAGTGTATCAGGGTGTACTGTCTGGTATCATATTGTATCAGGGTGTACTGTCTCATATCATATTGTATCAAAGTGAAATGTCTCGTATCATATTGTATCAGTATGTACTGTCTCGTATCATATTGCATCAGTATGTACTGTCTCGTATCATATTGCATCAGTATGTACTGCCTTGTATCATATTGTATCAGTATGTACTGCCTTGTATCATATTGTATCTGTCTGTACTGTCTCGTATCATATTGTATCAGTGTGTACTGTCTCGTATCATATTGTATCAGGGTGTACTGTCTCGGATCATATTGTATCAGAGTGCACTGTCTCGTATCATATTGTATCAGGGTGTACTGTATCATATCAAATTATATCTGTGTGAAATGTCTCGTATAATATTGTAACTGTGTGTACTGTCTGGTATCATATTGTATCAGGGTGTACTATCTGGTGTCATATTATGTCACGATGTACTGTCTGATATCATATTGTATCAAAGTGAAATGTCTCGTATCATACTGTATCAGTATGTACTGTCTCGTATCATATTGTATCAGGGTGTACTGTCTCGGATCATATTGTACCAGGGTGCACTGTCTCGTATCATATTGTATCAGGGTGTGCTGTCTCGTATAAAATTGTATCAGAGTGCACTGTCTCGTATCATATTGTATCAGTGTGTACTGTCTGGTATCATAATGTATCAGTGTCTAATGTCTCGTATCGAATTGAATTAGGGCGTATTGTCTTAGGTCATATTGTATCAAGGTTTCAATGATACTATTTTGCATCGGGTTGTAACGTCTAACATAATATTGTAACAGGATGTAACGGCTCACCTCATAGTGTATCAGGGCTTAACGTGTCAAATCACAATGTATCATTTGTTAAAACAATTAACAAAAGGTCTGTTGTTGTTATGCTTAAATCAAATGAAAATATTGTACAAGACTATATTGTTTAATATGATTATGAAAAATACGACGCCGTATCTTGAATTAATTATAAAATTATAAATATTAAAACACAGTACACTAATTTCTCTACCCTAATTTCTCTAAATCATAAACTGGTTTTGTATGTAAAAGTTCAATCAAAATCAATCAAAGCTTTTGAGAATAATAAACTTAATAGATTACTTTTGTATGAAATTACATAAAGATAGCTTGCGATGCAATGTAACATACGCCCACTGGCAGCTGTCAGAAATAATAAAACAGTCTTTAGTGACTTAAGTACGAATTTTCTCATATTGAAGAAATTATTTATGCTGAATAATTCCACAAAATTTTTTAAAATAAATATCAATAACCCAAATACAACAAACAATTAAATCACACAGCTCTAATCAAGGGCAAAAAACAACTTTTGACGCGTGTTTACAAAGTCAAGGGCAATAACTCAAAAAAAGTTCATCAAAAATATCTCTTGTTAGAACTTGTCCGAGATCTTATCAATTTCAATGATCACACCAAGTTTCCTCAGAATCGGTTGAAAACTGTAGCTTCTATTGTGCTCAAGAACAAATTTTGACGCGTTTTTACAAAGTCAAGGGCAATAACTCAAAAACCGTTCATCAAAAATGCATCAAGTTAGAACTTGTCCGAGATCTTATCAATTCCAATGATCACACCAAGTTTCATTAGAATCGATTGAAAACTGTAGCGTCAATCCCGCTCACAAACTATTTTTAACAAATTTCGACGCATTTTAACAAAGTCAAGGGCAATAACTCAAAAACCGTTCATCGAAAATGCGTCAAGTTAGAACTTGTCCGAGATCTTATCAATTCTAATGATCACACCAAGTTTCATCAGAATCGGTTGAAAACTGTAGCTTCAATCCTGCTCACGAACTATTTTTAACAAATATTGACGCGTTTTTACAAAGTCAAGGGCTATAACTTAAAAACCGTTCATCGAAAATGCGTCAAATTAGAACTTATCCGAGATCTTATCAATTCCAATGATCACACCAAGTTTCATCAGAATCGGTTGAAAACTGTAGCTTCAATCCTGCTAACAAACTATTTTTAACAAATTTTGACGTGTTTTTACAAAGTCAAGGCAATAACTCAAAAACCGTTCATCTAAAATGCGTCAAGTTAGAACTTGTCCGAGATCTTATCAATTCCAATGATCACACCAAGTTTCATCAGAATCGGTTGAAAACTGTAGCGTCAATCCTGCTCACAAACTATTTTTAACAAATTTCAACACGTTTTAACAAAGTCAAGGGCAATAACTCAAAAACCGTTCATCAAAAATGCGTCAAGTTAGAACTTGTCCGAGATCTTATCAATTCCAATGATCACACCAAGTTTCATCAGAATCGGTTGAAAACTGTAGCTTCAATCCTGCTCACGAACTATTTTTAACAAATTTCGACGCGTTTTAACAAAGTCAAGGGCAATAACTCAAAAACCGTTCATCGAAAATGCGTCAAGTTAGAACTTGTCCGAGATCTTATCAATTCTAATGATCACACCAAGTTTCATCAGAATCGGTTGAAAACTGTAGCGTCAATCCTGCTCACAAACTATTTTTAACAAATTTCAACACGTTTTAACAAAGTCAAGGGCAATAACTCAAAAACCGTTCATCGAAAATGCGTCAAGTTAGAACTTGTCCGAGATCTTATCAATTCTAATGATCACACCAAGTTTCATCAGAATCGGTTGAAAACTGTAGCTTCAATCCTGCTCACAAACTATTTTTAACAAATTTCGACGCGTTTTAATGTTCATATTCATGTGGGCGTATAAAAACGTAGATCTTTAAATTAAAAAAAAATCTTTCAAAAATCTATATAAAGCAATACTATGTTATATGTATATTATGATGTTTAAATATTGGTTTTTCACTTAATGCATGAAACAAGCATCTCACATCGAATCCTATTAATTGGGAATAATGTCCTCTTTGAAATAAACTAAACAATCACTAAGATCATTTCGGATTTTGGATATACTTTGTTTCCTGTTATTAATATCATAATATTAGTAAGTTGATCTCTGATTTGAAATAAATCAGTGAAAGTAGTAGGGATAATACTTAAAGCCTACTGATTATATAGCAGAAAGATCAAGAAAACTATAAGCTTTTCCTAGAGTTGTATCCCTTTTAGGCAGCTTCGCATCTTTATAATGTTTTAACATATCCTGTATCGAATTATAGTATTTTATCTTATCTATAGACACTCTAGAATCCTGAAATGGAGAAAAGGATACTAATTAAGTTATTATATACAAATACAAATATAAGTGGATGCCGAAGCAACAAGAAGAATTCTTTTCATTATGCTTTTGCAGGTCTTACAGCATCGCTGGCAAAAGTGAAGGGAATTTGAAGGGAAATATCAAAGACGTTGTAAAGGGTCTTTCACGAATAAATTTAAAACTGGTAAGCCAGCTCTATTAAAACTGAGTATATTATCATGTATTTATATAAGTTATTAAAAAGAAACAACTGAAAACAGATGGATTAGTAACTCTAACCATATATCGTGAGATTTTACCTGAATAAATATTTTATATTCTCTCACTTCAGCATCAGATTTCACAGCTAATACCTAAAATAGAAATTCATAGGTGGACAAAATGACAAATCTTATTGCTATCTGGATACTCATTATTTGAAGAAGAACTTGTAAATATAATCATTGTATCATAGCATTTATATATCTTGTGCACTTCAAATGATCTCAACTGCCATCTTTGTCATAGAGGATCACTCGACGTACTTGTTAATATATATCAGAACCCTGGCATACAATACTCACTTTGGCGTTATCGCTTCTTGAATTTCTCACTAAAAACGTACCATCTGGTGCCTCAGATAATATTCTGTTGAATAAAACACTTTCATTAACACGAAGGAGTTCCAGTCAGGTTACGTCTTAAATTTGCCTTCTATCTATTGGACCAAAACGTTGGTGGGGAGGGGCTGGGGGTTGGCTAAATTGCATATCATTGCATAATTTCGATAATAAAAATTGATCGAAATCATGTTGATATCTTTATCTAAGTTTTTCCAAAGCATGTTCTGCGCATCGACAACGAACCCCCACCCCCACTTTTTCAGTATAATGTAGATCTTACTTTTTAACCTCATCTCTATCTGAACTTTCAAGCATAAAATCTTTTTCCTTCAAAGTCTTATTTCTATTCTGAAAGTACAAATAACACGTTTTCTAGGAGGTCATGCTTTTCATTGTATCACATGTTCAATAGTAAAAAAATAAATTGATCGGGGACAGGGTTCCAAAAGATGGATTCGCTGAACGCTTTGTAAAGTCAACTTCTTGTTCTTCAAAAACTGTTTGCCCCTTTCTTGTCAGGTATTGGTGAAAAGTTTTGTTTTGGGGTTTTTTTTAACTTCTAAATAATGTGAACCACTGAAAATGTACGTACACCGTAATTTGCTACAGGGTTTGGTTTCAAAGCAACTGGTGGCTCCGGTTTCTTTCGTGGGGTTTTTATCGCCTTTTGTGGCAAACTTCCACTGGATTTAGAATCCTCATTTTCAGGAATAGGTGGTATGGTTCTCCTGCCCTCATCTACAGATGCTCGTCTAGTAGCTGGACTGCTTTTTATATCTCTTGTAGGAGGAAGAGTTCGTGAACTTTTCGGTTCTTCTGGTACAGCTGTAAAATAAAAACATATATTTCGGATAACTTGAAATGTTAAATTATGTTAGAGACCAGAAATCGACTAGAAAATTAAATGAAAGTACAATAAAATAAAAAAAAATGGTCGTTTTATTTTCCTGGTGGTCCAAATTTTATTCTGTTGTTCCTGGGTGAAGTTGGCCAGTGTCGGTTATTTTGCAGCAAATTTTGAACGGTGTGTGATGGGTTTATTTCAAATGAGGTTATTGTCTGGTTTTATTTGTGGCCATGATGGCTTGAAATTCTGAATCTCCAACATCAAACGGTAGGTACTCGGTCTGAGACCCTTGTAATGTGTTATCACGATCTTCGTGAGCAAGGTATGAGTTTGGGGTTTATATTTGATCTTGGCATTTAGTGGATTCCGACTACACATAAGCAGGCTGTTTTCCAGGGTCGTCTTATGTTTTACATTTCTGATATTGTCGGAAAATAGTCAGGGATCTATGGGACAAGAGTTAATTTGAAAGTCATTGCAAACCCACTTTGTCATTTTATATAAAGACATTTAGATATTAGAGATGATGCAGATTCGATTCGACAATTGAGTACTTACATGGAAGGGGCCGTTTTTCTTTTCTGTGCTTTTGTAAAATTTCTTCTTCGATTTTGTCATAATCTAAAATGAAAAAAAGAACATTCTCAAAAAAATATCAGATGTGATCTACTGTGTCGTTATGAGAAACGGAGTAAAACGTTAAATTTGGCACTCTTTGAAATATAGAAAAGGATTTTGATGACTTACCAGAATCACTAGACTCACCATCATCAGAATCCTCATCTATCACTGGTTGTTGAAGATAGTCATATGCTGCGTTATCAGATAAAGACAGTACATCAATAGGGCTGCTGTAATAAATGCATATTTTATTGCTCCAAAGATGTTCATATTATATTTCCCTTTACTTATGATTGACGTGGCGATTAAAAAAAGCTATTGGTTATATTTATTCAAATCGTAGAGGCAAACAAAATCAGATCGTCTACTTGATATATCCATTGGTAAAGGTGTGGTCAACTAACGGGCCAAAAATCAGTCATGTAATTGCAGATAGTTCTGTTAAGAAGATCCCCGATGTTTAATCAATCAAATTAAAATATAATAGGTTGATTTCAAAATCAAGAATTTCAAATCTTACAATTCCGATAATATATCATTAGCATGACACATTTCTTCTCGTATATTACTCATCCATTCCTGAAACGACGAGGTAGCAGGTTTATTTAACAACTGAGGACATTGGGTATTCAGGCAACTATTGGATTGGATTGGATTTCATTTCATGGGAAAAATCCGAACAATCTATGAACTCCCGAAAAAACAAGACCTAAATTCCCTATATTTCATAAATTCCCTACATTTCATAAATTCTTACAGCAAAAGACATAAATTCCCTACATTTCATACACCAAAAAACACCTTCAATCAATTTCCTACATTCCATCAAAAAAGCATATTAAAAATACCCTTATATAAAATGACATAACATTTTTAGTAGAAGGGAGATAACTCTTTTTGGATAAAAAACAGACTAAATTAACTCATTTAAAAATAGGATGAGTTTAATTTTAAAACACGAACAACACAGATTCGAAGATTATTCGGGCGACGGTATCTTTTCTTCATTATTTTCTCTAGGTAAAACAATAATTCCAAAAGTAGCTAGCTTTGTTTCAAAAAACAAATCACTCATTTCAAGCGGAGCGAAAGCCATCGGCTCAATCGCTAAAGCGAGAAAGAGTATAAGCGATACAGTGAAACAATCTAACGAGTTGAAAGAATTAGAACTAATAAGAGAACTGCGAAACAGGAGATTAGAAGAAAGGAAAGGAAAAGGTTTTAAAGTTATAGGAGGGGGGGGAAAAATGATTGTCGCTCACGCTCCAAAAACTTATTTCGGTTCAGGAGATATACAAAAATCATTGGGTTCTCTTCCTGGATTTCCATGGGCGAAATATCCCAGAGAAAAACATCTCCCAGGGCACAATTATACAGGTCCAGGCACAAGGTTAGATCTGCGATTAGACG